ATACAATTTCTTGCTCCCTCAACTTACCATTGGGGAGTCTAACCTTTACCTCCCGAACAAGATCAATGGAAGCATCAACTTCCACAAGCACTCTCGCAAAGGAGATACGACCCCTAGTAGCGGTTACTTTATCCATTGAGATTGGTTTCCCAACCATAGAGACAATCTTACTCAATGCATTAGTGTTCCAAAATTCCAAGGGAAGTCCCGGCAAGTTAATCCACACCGGCATTGTACTAACATCTTTGTCATCAAAATCGAAATAGCGCGGCATCATTTTAAGCATGAGCGATCTCCCGTAGACTAAGTATGGGCCACCATGTAACACACTTAATCTTTCACTATCGGTCTCAAACTTGAAAACCAACCAACCACTAGCATGAACGTAATACTTATAGTTCACCTTCCAAGAATCACATAATTTGAGTAACGCGACTTTCCCCGGAAACCTACCGGCAAAGTATCCAACCAAACCAAATCCCCATGCATTTTCAATATCATTTTCATCACATTCTCCCAACACAACCTCGTTTGATTGATTATGGAAGGTTTTCAACTTGATATTTTCCTTAATTTTGCGGTTATCCTTGAAAAGGTTAACCCATGGGGTTTTTTTCCGATACCTTCATCAACACTCTTCACATTTTCAGCATTATTATTCATTACTTTAACCGAATTTGATTCAAAATCAGATTGGTCAGATTCCATATCCTCCTCACCAAGAGTTAAAGAAACGCTCGGTGAAGGCAATTTTGTCACCTTATTCTCCCCCGATAAAACCTTCGATGGGGATGCACCAACAATGTCCTCAACAAGAGGCAGTTGACGAGTTTTAATAATAAGGGAGGGGGGGGGGACGTCCACTTTTAGCCTTGTTCTTACCCATGATTCAAAGAAAAAATAAACCAACCAAAGGCAGGAAATATATAACCCAGCAAGACCGGCAGAACAACCAAAGACAGAAATATTGAACCCAACAAACCGGCAGAAAATAATCACCAAGTGAAAGGAAATTGACGTCTAAAAAAATCCACCAGAATGAAAACCCAGCCAAGATGAAAATGACGACAAAGGCAGAAAATAATCACCAACCAACATGGAATTAACGTCAAAATGAGAGGATGGACAATCCAAAGAAATCCAGCAAGAATGGCCCAAACGTGCCAGCCAAGAACTGGAATTGACGTCAAAAAAAGTGAGTGGGAGGTCCAAATAAATCCAGCAAGACTGGCCCAATACGTGCCAGCCAATGATACTGCCCAGAAAAGAAGCCCAGAATTCCCAGCAGAAACGACCCAAATAAAAGGCCCAAAAAGGTCCAAAGAAGCTCAGAAATCCCAGTTAAAACGGCCCAAATAAAAGGTCCAAAGAGGCCCAGAAATTCCAGTAAAACGGCCCAGAGAGAAGGCCCAGAAAAGGCCCAAAGAAGCCCAAAGAGATCTCCCAGCAAAGGCCCAGAAAATGGCCCCAAGAAGCCCAAAGAAAACACCTCAATCCAACCACCAGTAGGCCCAAAAGAACCAGAAAAGGCCCAAACAAAATGGAGCAGGTTGGCCCAGCAACGACAAGTGAAAAACCAAGGAGGCCCAAGGAACCAAAACTGGCCAGCAATAAAAGCCCTCACACCGGCCCAAAAAGGGACCCAAAACCCGACCAGAAACCAAGTAAAACCGGCCCAAAGCAAGAGTCAACGGGTCAGCCACCTACCACCTGAAAATATTTCACCAAAGTGGTAAAAAAACAGAAGGAGGAAGCTGCAAGGCGGATAATTTCTCAGAACGGCCAGGAAATCACTTAAAGGGCAGACAAAATCAAAGACCAATCAATTGTGACATGCAATATTACATACACAATACATACAGAAAAACCAAGAACACCATGGATGATGAAGAACACAAAACCAACAGCAAACTGAAATCCGAGCAAGAGGAATCCAAATTGGAATAGAACACCAAGCACCCAAACTGCAGGAAAACCGAACATGCCACAATGGAGATTCCAAACAGAAATAGGCCCAGAAAAATTCAAGAGTGGAAACCGTCCAGCAAGTAAGATGCATAACCAACCAAGCTCAAAGTTGAAGAACCAAGTTGAGTAAACACTGCCAACCAAGTTGAGCTAGCAAGAGCAAAACAGAAAACTCCAGCAACAGGTAAAATCCGAACAGCAATGCATCAAAGCTGAAACAAAGAGAACAAAGCTGGGGTCCAAAGGACCAGAGGTAGCCCCAGTCGACCAGCAAGACCACGAGCAAAATAGCACCAAGGAAGAAACAGAATATAACCAACTAGCAGGGAATGATGAACCCGAAAACTGAATGAACTTACCTGGCCAATATAGAAACCGAATGTGGAGCTTTGTAGAAGACGAAAATGGCAGCTGAAAGAAAACCAATACTCACAAAGAGTAGTCCATAAGCAGAATCAAAATGTAATAATTCGATTTTCACCAATGAAGAGTAAAAATGAAACTAAAACACATGAAAAAACACAAGAGAATTCGAATCCAAGACAAGGCACTCAAAGTGGGACTTTCTCTCACTAGAGTTGAGAGCATCTCTCTCTAACCTTGACTGAGAGCTCTTTCTAGACTGAGAGCTCTTTCTGTAATGCATTCTTTACTTGATTGGTCTCCTTGTTGTTTGTGTTGGAAATTTTTTATTTTTTTGTGGTTTGGTTTTTATTGTTGCATAATGAGGGAGGGCTTTGTTTTGGTTTTTGCTGCTGCATAATCAGAGAAAGGGGATTGATTTGGAAAAAAATGTGTTCATTATGGTTTGCTTTGGTTGTTGCTGTTGCTACATATAATCAGAAACTTGTATGGCATTGGTTGGTTTATATTTCTCAATCCGTTAAAATAATAAAAAAAGAAAAAAACGGAGAATGCTGTGGGACTGAAACTTACGAAACTTTGGAGCTATTATCTAAGATTTAACACTGTATTCAATTAAGTTTATGTAATCAGACAAAATTGCATTAATAAACTCTATCCTAAACTTCATTGAAAAATGAGCTACGATTAAAACCCATAAAGCCTTTGCACTTCTCAGCAATTCACGAGGATTAAAAATTCCTCAACTGATTTTCCTTCCTATGTGTACACCTTATTAACAAGTTATAAGCGACATCAGGCTTCTCTCTGGAAGAGAAATTCCTGTTTTCCTCCTCTTATCATATTTCCCACATCAAAAAGTAAGCTTTCATTTAGCAATACACTCTAGGACATAAGAAAAAAAAGCTAAAGAACAACAATAATAAGATGTAGCACCAGACACAAAAATATAGCACCAAAATTCTTTCCTTCCTATGTGAACACCAAAAATGTAGCACCAGATACAATAATAAGATGTATCCACTTGTAGCCTTTAGCAAAGACAACCTCTATGTAGTCCATTCCAGACATAAAAATGTAGCACCAAAATAGGATCTCCCTCCTGATAAATCGAGCAGCATTTATTGAAGAACTAAGAACCATTTTCCTTTTACAGGTAGAAAATAATGGAGAAAACATTTGAACATTTCATAAGTTCCAGTTCACTTTGTAGTCCTGTAAGTAGACTGTTCAAATTCTGCCCAATATTTGTTTTGGGATTCACTTCATCCAACTCAAGCAGCCTAGGTTACATAAGTTAGTGCCTGCAACCCTATTCTCTTTCTCAGTTTTAAGAATGATAGCTTCCTGGTGTCGATGAATTGTCGCAGTCTGAGTTTTGGTTTTTCAAGATATACCACAACTTTTTCGATTTGGCATGTGTAATTAAAAAGAGAAGTTCCACTTATTGAAATAATTTATCTATTTCCTTCATGGAAAAAAAAATGCATGAATTCGAAAGTAAAATGAAGTGGTATTGAAAATCAAAATGTTTTATTAACCACAAAGACGTACAAGTGTTTTTACTGCATATTCACCATAAAAATGTAAAAGTGTTTCTATTGCATAATTCACCACAAATCAAATTGATTTATTCACTACGAAGATATACACTGCTGCTTTTTTCATCCAACTTCTTCATTTTTTTCACCCCCTTCTACCCATATTTTCAACCTAGAAATTAGCTTTCACCTTCTCAAATGATTATGGCTGCCTCTTGTGAAGCCTAAACACGAATTGTCGTGGCCTAATCTTGAACTGCTTTTGAGTTCATGATCTGATCCATACTCTGTAATCTCATTCAGATGATGGTCATTTTCTTCCATGACTTGTTCCATAATTCGCCAAGTTCCACAATTTTTGCAATGTCACCTAAGATAAAGTTATGGAGAACAAAAGGAGAATGCATCTTCTACCTTGCGCTTCCTTGCACAACTTCTTCTTCTACTTCTCAACGAAAGCACTATCAACCTTCACTTCATAAGTAGCCGACTGTAGCTTTGCATCTGCTGCAAGACCAACAATCATAGTCAGCCGCCTTAATTCTGATGGGGTAGGGCCTGCATTTGATCCAACAAAATACGTTCATTTGGGATTCAATTGAGAAGAAGCTCGATAGAATCATTTGGGACTGTGGGGATGAAAATCAATTTAGGTTTTGCTACAAAAATTGGGAAAATTAAAATTTTGATTTGAGATAGAAAAACCTTTCTTCCAATTTTGTGGGGATGAAAATCAATTTAGGTTTTGCTACAAAAATTGGGAAAATTAAAATTTTGATTTGAGATAGAAAAACCTTTCTTCCAATTTGAAGAAAAACGTTACTAAGTGGAATGGGTTTTTGTCCAGATTGGCAAGTTTTAACACCGTTACATGCCACGTATGATTTCCATTTGCCAAGTGTATTTTTTTGCCCATGTGGGCGGATGGAAGTGAAATGGGTGGCGGATGGGTAATGTTTTGTAAAAGTGAGTGAGTATTGAGTAACTTTTTATTTTTTAGCGAGCAAATACTAACCATGTATAAATGTGGGTGATCAGTCATTTAATTAACTCTATTATAATTAGTCACTTTATATCAATTTGTAAAAAATTCCAATCAAGCCTTCAAATATTTTTAAGCGGGCCCAAGCGCGCCACTACCATCCTGTTTTTTGTGACCAGACAACCTTTGTCAAAACCTCTTTAAACCCGCGTACAATACCACCAGAACGAAACCCTAATGATCCAGTCCCAGTACCTATTTCGACCGTTGCAAACCCTAGTTCAATATCCCTAATTGCATTGAAGCCTCGCCGAATACTTCTTGCGGAGTGATAGAGGAAAAACTCAGTAAGGCACAATCCAATGGCAAAGAATGGGACCGAAAACAAGGCCCAATTGAAGCCCGAACAGAAGTCTCTTCTTTTCTACTCATTCGCTCTCTGCCTCGGAAGTTATGGCTTCTCCAAAACCCTCAAAAGATTTCTCTCCGAAGCTCGAATTAAGGTACATATATATGTGCTTGTTTTAACGTATGGATAGCTATGTGTATGTTTTGCTAAGCCTAAAAAATAGTAAATTCACTTTTTAGGTCTAAGACGCTTTAAATAAGTAACTTACTTGGAGCATGTTTGGCTAAGCTTAAAAGTGCTCTTACCTACACGTGCTTATATAAAATGCAGGATGATGAAAGGAAAAGTTTGAATTTATTAGCGGAGAGTAAAATTTCTAGGCATGATGTTTTGTTAAGGCAAGGAAATGCTGCACGCTGTACCTTGTTGCCTGGTTGTACCCTGCTCCTCTTTATTTGACGTTTCAGCTCCCACAAGCAATTTGGACTCTGCTATGGTTTAAATTTTTAGTCATTTTTTTGTTCTTGGTGTTTGTAATCTTCTCGCTTCTCAGTAAAACGATGAATAAAATTATAATTTGTCTGAGGTGTTCCTGCACGGTATAGGGAGGAAACGTTTTTAAGATATTAAAATGTTTGGCAATGTCAACTGAGACAACATAGTTTTTGACTTCTCGTTTTTCAAGGCAACCGTAGCACAAGTTTCTTAGAATAAAGTTCTTGGTAAAGACTAAGAAAATATTATTTATTGGTGGTTTCATGCATATAAGAAGCACATTCCCTGGATTAATTTTTTATTTTTTCACATTATTAACACATGGCCAATGAAGATGCTGCAACAGAGTAAATAAGATTTAAATGTGCAGAGCAAATTAGGGGAATGATTGTTGAATAGCATTATATTTTTAACAAACAATCCTTTTTTTGATCAGGATGATGATTGGGAGGCAAGAGCACTTAATTTGGATGATGTCTTTTCTAAATATTTAGAGACTTGGTAAGTTACTTCTGAGCATAATAACCATTTTTTAATCATAAAACTAAATTATTGCATCCTGAAAACTTCACCATACTTTGCTAAAGGCGAAAAAATCTAGAAAGCCAGTTTCTGTATTCCTGAGCCATCTTCAGCAATATTTTTTTTTTCCATCATGTATGTTCTTGGTGTTTGTAAGCGTGGCATCCACTTTCTTTTATACGCTCTCATGCGGTGTTATTAGTCCTTTAACTTAGTTTAGATACTGCTGTGAGTATTCTACGTGACATCATTAAATTTGACTTATTTGTACTTTCATCAAGTTTTGTTATCCTGAGTGAGAAGTGAAAGTTGTTCAAAAAATATATGTAAATATACTCTTCGTTCGATATTTTTGATACTTATAGGTGAAATTTTCCAAATAATGAAGTGAGGTGGGAGGAGGATATGCATATGGATGGTTGATGAATTTCTTTTACACGGTTTTGGGTTTTTCCTGGGATATAGGGCTGACTCTGGGCATTTTGTGCATCAGGTTGAATTTTATTTTGTGGATGGGATCCTTCCTTTAGCTGTTTTATGTTTCTAATATTTATAGTGTTTCCTTGCTGAATTAAAAAATTCTGTACATGTCAGTTGGAATTGTATGTTAATATTTTTTTATTGCTCCTTGAGCTTCTATGATTTGCAGTAATGATGTTTACAACAATGTTGACGTCCGGAAGGATCAGGGTGAGCTCTATAAATGAAACCTTCTGCCGCTAATGTTATTTATTTCTCAAGAATTTAGATAATGTACAATATATAGGTGAATGTTACAATTCGTGCTTATCGCAAGCTTTTTTTGTTGTAGAACCCCAGGCAGACGGCACAGGGGAAGGAAATGGATATAATGATTCTGCAGCCTCTCAGGAAAATGTGAGAAAGAAAAAAAACGAGCGATAAAAATGATATTGACCTTGCAGTCATGGGTTCTGTAAAAACTTCTGAGGATGTGCAGACACAGAATATTGAAACAAGTGCGAAGTCAAAAGAGGAGAAAAACAAAAGGACAGCCGATACTCTTGTTCAAAGTGACCACGAATTATTAACCTCGAAGCAAGTTACTGATGGTGAAATACCAGTGCACCAGTCCACTAGGAAACAGAAAGAGAAGAAAATAAAGAAAAGTTAGTTAACTTCTGAATTACTTATTGTTGATGAAAAACGACTAGAGATAATGCCGGAGGTAACTGAAGAGAAAAGCAAAGATTTAAATGATGGTAATGATGATCCTGCTGCCCTAGTTGAATCTAAAGATAAAAAGAAGAGAAAAAAGCTGAAGAGGGATAGTCTTTTTGAAGATGGTGAGAAGGGTAGCTTGAGAAATAAGAGTAAAGTTGATGCTGATAAAGTTGTTAGTGACATTCTATTGGAAGAGGATAAAGTTCAAGATATAGAAAAGAAGAGAAAAGAAGAAACTATGGAGAAATCAGTCGAGAATGTGGAAGATGGGGCTAATGAATATAAGAGGGCTTCCAAGAAAAGGAAACGATTGGCGCATGATGAAGATGGGAAACATCCTGTTGAGGAAGTAGCAGTTGAAGAATCGAAGCGCAGAAAAACTGATGGGCGGGACGAAGCCAAGGGCGTTGAGCAGCAAGTGAATGGTAGTCTCAATGGAGTGGAAAAGTCCAGTCAACCAAAATCCACGAGAAAACAAATAAATAGTTCTGCTGAGATATGGGGGTTTCTTTCTGATTTTAACTTTTATCAATATTCCTTTTATCTAAAGCATACTTCAGTCTCAAATAGGGACTTGTTTGAATGCTTGATGGTATCTCTTCTCATTTCTCAAATTTGCTTGTGGTATCTCATCTTTCCTTTCTTTTGTTTCCCTCTTTTCCTCATTTTCACGGGGGTCTTTGAATTAGGAATATTTATTTTACTTGTTTTTTGGAAGATATTGCTCTTTATAAAATTCTAATTTTGATCAAACTGGAGAGTACAGGAGTGTGCATGCACATTCTGATCTTCTCTAATGGAGAACACGGAGCCTCAATTGTGTTGTTTTGACCTCCAATGTTGAGTCATAATTATTTTTTCTTAAAGACAAGTTTGATGGTTTATTGCAGCCAAAAATGGTGAATGCATTTCAAAGGGTTAAAGTTGATGATGTGAAGTTTGTTGATGAGAGGCTTCAAGATAATTCGTACTTGGCAAAGGTTTTATTTTTTTCCCCTTATTGATACTTCATTTGCAATTGCTCCAATATCTCTGTAGACACTTTTCATGGATACACTATGCATTTTCAATATTTACATGTTTATATATGTGTGTGTGTGTACACGAATTGTGTGTGTGTATACGAATTTAATATTTTGACCCCATCAATGGTATTTATGTATGTTTTATTTTGTCTTTCTTTTATGTGGTTTCCTCACAGGATGGAGCCGAAACTGGCTATGGAGCAAAAGCACAAGAAATTTTGGGTTTGGTCAGAGGAAGGTATGTTATTCTGTGTTTTATGTGCCGAAATACTGAATGTCAAGTTCACTTTAGTATATTCATGGACAAGCTCAGATTATGTATGTAATGAACTTGGGTACTGCTACAGACATGACCTGGGAAAAAGTAGATATAAATGTATAGATTATAAAGCTAGCAGAAACTCGAGCTGGTAGCCACGCTCTGAAGTTGAACTGGAGATGAATTTAGGTCTATCTAAATAACATTATGCGGCTGGGTTTACCATCTAAGAATTTGTTGTGAAATCTAGTTATAAACGACATAAATGGGGATAACTCAGTGATGAGTTTGCGGTTATTAAGTAACAACTTGTTCGTGGGCGTTTATATGATGTACTTTCTGTCCCTCTTTTTACAGGGACTTCCGGCATGAAAAAACTAAGAAGAAGCGTGGTAGCTATAGAGGAGGACAGATTGACCTGCAATCTCACTCGATTAAGTTCAATTATTCTGATGAGGATTAACATATGAACATTTCTTATCTACTGCATACTCTCTCTATATTCTTTCAACATAGATACATTAATATGGTCGTCGTTGCATTAAAGATCCAAACTTTCTTCAAAATTTGAGTTAATTCAAAATATGTATTGTTGTACTCTTCTTTTAGAACAGTTCTGGTTTTTGCTCCAGCTGCTGTTTTCTGCCTAGTTTTTCTTTATGTTTGCTCCCTTTTCACTGACTGAACGGGGTGTGTTTAAGTCATATTGTACTGTTAATGAGAAATCTCTAACAACTTGAACCTTTTTTGAAGATGATTCGAAAAAAACTATGAATGGCAGTCTAAATTGGGAGTATCAAAACATGATATACACCAAGCTATAGTTTTGATACTGTCCAATATGTACAAGAAAGTGGAAAATGAAACCAGTTAAAAGAAATAGATAGTGTAGAAATTAAAGATAAAGAGAGCCTTAAGCCAACTGGGTAGGCAGTATCCTTTTATGTGAAGAAAAGGAACGTGCTAGGAAATGGATTCATCAATTTGTGGACCCAAGTACGGAATTCCTTCCATTTCTGATTCTTGGGGCATTTCAATCTCTTCAAACCATCCATAAAGATTCCCATCATCTTCCGTTTTGGTAAATTCTTCTCTATCTGCAGTGCAAAAACAAAGTCAATAGAAAGAACCATAATAATGAAAATGAACATCCATAAAAATTAGGAAGTACAAACTTGTATCGCATGCATTTCATTCTGTACTGGTCTTGGGGGTACTATGTAAGATATGGGACTCGTGTGCAAATCTCGAGTTTGCTCAGTTGCATAACTTGAAAATCGAAATTGCACAGAAAACTCGATATTTCTCCAACAAATTCGAGGTTTGCCAAGCTAATTTGAGAGATTTAACCTGCTAACTCATCAGGTGTCTACAAAACTTGACTTGGATGGTTTTTATGTCGGGTTGGACCCAAAATCGACCCGACCCAACTCAACTCACGCCAAGCTCTACTCATAGGCTCATTGCCCTCTAATGCAAAATTTAATTTGAGGGAAGCATCTTAATAACCAGGCAAAGTTGTGAGAATATGGATTGATGAAAATTTGATTGGAATGACGATTACGTTGTCGTTCACAGAAAAACCTTAAAAAGCAGATTATTGTACCAAATGAGATTAGTTTCTTACTTGACAAAGTACCATATAGATTCTCTCTGTAATATGTGCAATCCCGGCCATCATCTTTAGAGTAGGGAGGTCCAAGAACATCAAGAACAGCACATGGTGTTACAGCAGTAAATTCATGGATATTTCCTCCTGATGTTGGATATAATACAGAAGTCTCACATGGTGCTCTGAAGCATCTGTTGGTTTTCAGCCTTGCCAGTTTCACTGCATGCATTTCCATGAACCAATAAACAAGACTTTAACTTCCTTTTCTTCTTTAGCAATATCAGGTCGAAGAGATAACTCACATTTAGAAGGTGAATCGTAATTATCAGAATATTGAGTATCGGCCCAATCATATGATTTAATGTGCATAGTTCCGAGCAGAAGCTTGCTGAAGACAGTCATCCCGGGGTGATTATGGAGAGGTATGACAGCAGTTGCAGGGAGAAAGAAAATGCAAAGCTGTGGTAAGAATGGAACAAAGTTAATAGACCAACTAATTTAGCTTGAACTTTCAATGGAGAGAAAATCTTACAGAGAAATTATGGCATTTGTAGATAGTAGCATATGAAACTCTGCGATTCTCTTTAACGACTACACTCTTGGGTTGAAAAAATTGCAGATCCCTACTCAGCCCCACATCTTCTGGCTCCATAAAATCTGAAAAATGGTAATAAAAAACTGATCAGAGAAGCACAATCTTAAATGCCAATGGATACAGTAGAAAACATACTTAATCTAATACGAGTAGTCTAGAATTCGGTGTAGGTAGAATCTCAAATGACCATTTTTTTTTTTTAAATAAGGTATTTCGACGTGATCTAATCAGAAAATGTCGTGTTATAATTAGTTTATGAAAATTGTGCGCGTGTCGACTACTTTTTGAGATTCAAGGTGGCTAATTTTGATCTAGTATCTTGACATTGTTGGCTCAAATTTCAAAATCCAAAAAGATCTTAAGAAGGAAGTGCAAAAAAAATAAAAATAAAAATATAAAAATATGCATAAATATAAATCGATGTATTATCAAGCCCTTATTTGAATCCCTTTAAAAAAATAATAATTTATTTCTCGTACTTAATTTTAATTACAAGATCACATAATAAAATATTTTACACGTAAACTCAAAATTCTTTCCCACTTTTTAATCAGAAAAAATCACCATTCTTACACAATAATGACCATCAAACATGGATTAAATAAGTTTGTGCCCTTTCTAATGATTTGAACTCTTGATATTAAAGCCACCGAGGAATTTAACTTTAAGATTTTAGATGGAGCGATTCAATGATTATTGCATACGCACGCTGTACTCACCAAGAATGTGGCGCAATCTTCGGACATCACTGGGTGAAGGAACAGTGCCAGGACCCTTGAAAACTTGTTGGCATAAATCTATTAGCCTCTGCAGTGTCCTTGAAACCATTTTCACAGGCCTCTTCACTTGAATGCTCACCTTTCTTTTGCATCTCTTCCTCTTCTTCTTCTTCTTCTTCTTAATAACCTCATCAACATTATGTTCAACCCTACTTGATCTCCTTTGCTCTGCCGGATCTACAGCCTCTATTGTCATCAAGAGAACTTCAAAAAGAATAAAGGGTTGTTTTTCTTTCAACTTCAAACTGTTTTGGCATGCAAGAGAACTTAGGGCTGTTCATCTATAAATGTGTTTTGGATGTTTGGGGAAAATAAATATTCTCTTTTGAATTTTCCTTGTTCATTTTCTTGTGATATAACAGGATTTGAGTGGGAAACTATGGAGGAAAAAGTCAAGAAGAAATTTGTAGATGGTGTTGGGAAAAAGTGCAAGATACAGGAACAGATATATATGCAAGGTGGGATGAGAGAGAGAGAGAGAAACCATGGGCTATGGGAAGAGTGGATAATATCATATTATCATGCATGGAGTGAACAGAAATATTGAGTTTCATCATGAGGTGTTTGTCATTAATTAGAGTTTCTTCTAGAAACGTTAAATTTATTGAGAAGAATTACGTCAAACTTTTATATCTTAATTATTATTGTATTTTTACCATTACTTCTTACACTATATTGAAAACACGAATTGAGAATGTGACTATTCATTTAATTTTAAAAGAATGAATATAATAACTCATTCGATAATTTTAAACTCTTGACAATATCTTGAATCTTGAGGTTCTATAGTAAAATGTTAAAATATCAAGAAAAGTAATCCAATTATCTTCGTATTTCAA